ATCAGCCTACTTACTATGAAAGCAGATTATATTCCTAGAAAACATCTGTGCAATAAATGTACACACAAATCAAACTTCAAATCATATAAAACTTCAAATGTACATACGTATCAAACTTCAAATCATATAAAGTCCAAAGTTTTATGAAAAAAATTTTCTTATGGAGGGCAACATTTCTGATCATGCACCTGATCCTGAACTTTTTAGAGAAATAATTATAAAATCCGCTATATAATCAAGTTATAAATAATATTTCAGAATAGGTCAAAGTTTCTCAAATTGCATATGAAGAAAAACACATAAATTTAAAACATATTGCCTTGGAGACCTGGCATGACTTTATTCAAGGGTGGTACAATTTTTCACTGTGGAGACTGTCCTTTCTATTACAGGTTTTGGCCAGCAGCACGTCACTAGACATGGTGACAACTAACATGCTTGCACATTTCAAAGTGTCCTCTGGGGGAACACTGTTCCAGCTGAGAACCAACAGGTCTCTACTGTTTATAGAAGAAACTTCAGCCCAGACAAAAGAAACGGCCCATACTTATATCACTAGATAATGACAGTGTCAGGTCTTGAACCCATGTCTCCAGGAAGCCAGTGTCACTGAGAATCCAGTAGAGAATGTCACAGTAACAGGCATGCTCTTATCTTATTTTGAGTTCAGCCTNGGAAGGGACACTTTTGAGAAAACCATAAAGGCATCTGAGATACAGGAATGTCAAGCCAATAAAGAAAAGTGCATGTGGACAAAAAGGGCCCGTTTTTGTCCACATGCACTTTTCTTTATAGATAGGTTTGTATTTTAAGTTCCTATTAGATATAAAGTTCTATCAGGTTTCCATGGTACTAATTTCACTTATAACACTTTAGAGAATGCATTGAGGAAAACAGGCTTAAAACTTCAAATTACTTTGTGAAACATATGCTTCTTATACAATTAACAATATATTCAGCATCAATAAGTTCTAATTTTAGAAACATTCATCCGAAAACATAATTAGTTAATGGCTAATTCAATTTCTACTCAGCTTCTACTTTTCACACTCAACTCTCCAAGGCAGTAGGTATCTCCAAGGTGGTAACTCTCTATACGGTTATCTCAAAAATATCAGCCTACTTACTATGAAAGCAGATTATATTCCTAGAAAACATCTGTGCAATAAATGTACACACAAATCAAACTTCAAATCATATAAAACTTCAAATGTACATACGTATCAAACTTCAAATCATATAAAGTCCAAAGTTTTATGAAAAAAATTTTCTTATGGAGGGCAACATTTCTGATCATGCACCTGATNAGAATCCAGTAGAGAATGTCACAGTAACAGGCATGCTCTTATCTTATTTTGAGTTCAGCCTACTCTTCCTGCTTCAGGTAACCTGTTCATCATGTACCTTCTAAGCTGGTATCTAGTCATCATTTTAACAACTTGCCAACTCCCTTCCATTTACTCTCGTCCTTCCCAGATGTCAGTCTTGCGCCTATCTCATTCCCATGAGTCTGGGATCTTCTCCCTGAGGACAGGTGTCAGCACAAATCCAGGGCTCCAACTGAGCAGCCCGGATGGCCAGACTTCCATGTCACTGTCACTTTATTTTATGCTCTTATTCAGTATCCTTTGTCTTGTCCACATCAGCACTGCCCAGTCAGCAGGTGGCATCTTTTACTTTACAGAGAAAATAGAGACACCTCCACTCACAAACTAATCTAAGTTAGCAGCTGGAGTCTGACTAGCCTGTTACAAAATGCAAGAAGGCATCTGTCTTTCCTCCCCATCTCTTCCAGCTCTCTCTTTCTCTTTGTTTCTCTTACTGCATCTCCAGCATTAGACTGAACAGAACAGTATACCAGACAGAATCCAGGTCCTGCTAGGGAATAAGTCTAAAGCGGTCTTCACTAAATCTGAGGACGTGCAGGTTTTCGGTAGATAGTTCATTTCTGTTTCTTATTATTTAAGTGTAAGAGTTTTTTGTTGTAATTCAATATTTAACTATATAAAATGTTTTTCCAGTATCTATTGTATTTTTAAGTTGATCATATCGAAAACATTTTAACATTTAAATGTTAAAAATCGCTATTTCAGTCCCCCTGATTGATTTCATTTGACTTTTAAGTTTTAGTTTACTGAAAAAGCCAAAAATCTTGGGTCACTCATTGGAAGGTAATCCCGCATTTGCAAGTGTGAAATGAAAACTCAGCTGGGAACTCAGAGCATCTGCATGCTTACCCGGATGTACGCATCTTGAGTTCAGCCTCCTCTTCCTGCTTCAGGTAACCTGTTCATCATGTACCTTCTAAGCTGGTATCTAGTCATCATTTTAACCACTTGCCAATTCCCTTCCATTTACTCACGTCCTTCCCAGATGTCAGTCTTGCGTCTATCTCATTCCCATGAGTCTGGGATCTTCTCCCTGAGGACAGGTGTCAGCACAAATCCAGGGCTCCAACTGAGCAGCCCGGATGGCCAGACTTCCATGTCACTGTCACTTTATTTTATGCTCTCTTTCAGTACCCTTTGTCTTCTTCACATCAGCACTGCCCAGTCAGCAGGTGGCATCTTTTACTTTACAGAGAAAATAGAGACACCTCCACTCACAAACTAATCTAAGTTAGCAGCTGGAGTCTGACTAGCCTGTTACAAAATGCAAGAAGGCATCTGTCTTTCCTCCCCATCTCTTCCAGCTCTCTCTTTCTCTTTGTTTCTCTTACTGCATCTCCAGCATTAGACTGAACAGAACAGTATACCAGACAGAATCCAGGTCCTGCTAGGGAATAAGTCTAAAGTGGTCTTCACTAAATCTGAGGACGTGCAGGTTTTCGGTAGATAGTTCATTTCTGTTTCTTATTATTTAAGTGTAAGAGTTTTTTGTTGTAATTCAATATTTAACTATATAAAATGTTTTTCCAGTATCTATTGTATTTTTAAGTTGATCATATCAAAAACATTTTAACATTTAAATGTTAAAAATCCCTATTTCTGTCCCCCTGATTGATTTCATTTGATTTTAAGTTTTTAGTTTACTGAAAAAGCCAAAAATCTTGGGTCACTCATTGGAAGGTAATCCTGCATTTGTAAGTGTGAAATGAAAATTCAGTAGGGGACTTAGAGCATCTGCATCCTTACCCGGATGTACGCATCCTGGTGGTGCTTAGCAAAGTACAGCATGTTGTCCAGAGCCAGCATTCCAGGAGGGGTCTGCGTAAAGTCCATGGCAGGGTTCACATGGTTCTGCAATTAAAACAAAATGTTTGGTAAGGTTAACCCTTCAGCAGATTTCACCAGCCAGCAGGGATCTGGTTTCACTCCTCCAGACTGAAGGACCCCAAGGCCAGCTCCAAGTAATCCAATCTGATGACATTTTCTATCTCCACATAAACCTGCTGGGGTAGGAGTACGGACTTTTTACAAAAAGTCCCTCAGGCTCAGCAAAACCAGCTTTTATACCTGGGGTTAGGAAACCCAGCTGAAGATCAAAATATAGGATTATTCTTAGACATGTGACATGGTGACATAAGAAAATGACACAAAAATTGTATTTCTGGTGACTGTGCTAAAGTGAAACCAATAGCATTTGACGAAGGACCTGGAATGAAGCCACACCTCTGCCACTTCACTCAGAAGCTGACACCATGGCAGCCATCGCCTCTCTGCCCCTTCACTTCCTCGTCCCCACGTGTGAGGTTACTCATGGCCCCACCTGTCCCTGGGCTTTGTCAACGGTCCAGGCCTACATGTCCACAGGCCTCTGAGCACAGACACTGGACAAAATTCACATGTCCACGGGGTCCTGACATCTGCCTGCTCTCAGGGAGTGTGTCTGGCCTCTGGTCACCACACAGCACCAAGAGCCCCAAAGATAAATTAAGAGTGACAGATGTGCCTAAGGGGCCGCAGACCTGGCTGATACGAACTCTCCATCCACTCGAGATCGCCCAGCAAACAGTCTNAAGGCCAGCTCCAAGTAATCCAATCTGATGACATTTTCTATCTCCACATAAACCTGCTGGGATAGGAGTAGGGACTTTTTACAAAAAATCCCTCGGGCTCAGCAAAACCAGCTTTTATACCTGGGGTTAGGAAACCCAGCTGAAGATCAAAATATAGGATTATTCTTAGACATGTGACATGGTGACATAAGAAAATGACACAAAGTTGTATTTCTGGTGACTGTGCTAAAGTGAAACCAATAGCATTTGAGGAAGGACCTGGAATGAAGCCACACCTCTGCCACTTCACTCAGAAGCTGACACCATGGCAGCCATCGCCTCTCTGCCCCTTCACTTCCTCGTCCCCACGTGTGAGGTTACTCATGGCCCCACCTGTCCCTGGGCTTTGTCAATGGTCCAGGCCTACATGTCCACGGGGTCCTGACATCTGCCTGCTCTCAGGGAGTATGTCTGGCCTCTGGTCACCACACAGCACCAAGAGCCGCAAAGATAAATTAAGAGTGACAGATGTGCCTAATGGGCCGCAGACCTGGCTGATACGAACTCTCCATCCACTCGAGATCGCCCAGCAAACAGTCTGAGACTCTTATTTAGAGCAGCAAACCATTCTCCAGCATTCATCACTGAAAACTATCACCAAGACGTGTCCTGAAAATTCAGATCTAAATGGTGAATGATTTAAGGGAAGGCATTTTTTCGTTAAATGTTAAACAGATGAAAAAGAAATGTTAAAGAGGTATCATAGAAAACTGCTTTTATCTCATGATCCAGACAATTTGTATGAAATGACGTATTTTCATTTTGTCCCCAGAATACAGCACTTTAAAAAAATAGCCTAAATCTCTGTTTTGCCAGGGAAGTTTTGGTTAACAGCTATTTTTTCCAATTCTGGTAGAGGAAGGTCTTTTTTCTCTACTTGTTCAAGGTTCAAACAACCCACAATAATTTTCTACATTATTCAAGAGCACATCTAAACTGTCTTTCCCACGTGATTAAAAATTTTGCTTATGAGCAAATAAACAACATCTAAAATTATGGGAGAGCAGTGCTGCCTCCTGCCACAGGTCCAGTCTCAAGAGCATCCCTGTCTGTATCTATTCAGTAGGTGGTGTCAGTGCAATGATTCGAATATTTTATTTCAGCACTTTATTCTGATTCATTTATTAAAATGTTAAAAAGTTTTTAAAAATACTAAAGTAGGGCCGAGCCCGTGGCGCACTCGGGAGAGTGCGGTGCTGGGAGCGAAGCGATGCTCCTGCCGCGGGTTCGGATCCTATATAGGGATGGCCAGTGCACTCACGGGCTGAGCGTGGTGTGGGTGACACCACACCAAGGGTTGTGATCCCCTTACCCGTCACGAAAAGGACAAAAAAAAAATACTAAAGTACTACCACTAATGATAAGAAAGATATATCTCATAAAATAAATATAATCATAACAAAAATGAAAATCATTCAGCATGTCAAATGCAGAGGAGTTCAGTCTTAATTTGCTATTTATTGGATTAAGAGAGTCTGACTCATACTCAATAGTGGTAGAGAATTAAATAATCAAATGCTGGAAGTAAATAACCAGAGCTTTAGTCTAGAAAATAAAGTCCTGTAAATAAAGATTTTATAATATTTTTAATTATTTAGCAAAGGATAGTGGAACTTCCTGATTACACACAAATTGATTATTTTGACTTTGATACATTAGATTTTCACGAACCCAAGTAACATTAAAAAAAAAGTTAATTTTTGCTGAGCACTATCCAGGTGCTGGCACTGTTTTGCACGTTACATGTATGAAGTCTCAGGACACCCCCTACAGGAGGTACTGCTGTTACTCCATTTTACTGATGGGGAAACTGGCTCAGTTGAGTTCAGAAGCTTGTCCAGGAACTGGACACTTTGCTGCCAAAGAGAAGGCAATGGGCAATGTCTTCTCTAGACAATGTGTTTCAACAATCTTTTGTTCCTACTTTTTTCCTTACCACAAGTTTAGAAGTTTAATGCATTTATTTTGGTACTGCCCGCATTTAGACTTCACACAGAACGAGAAAAGAGTAACATGAATGTAGGCTAGTCAATATTTGCTGCCATGCAGCAAAGGCCAGCCTACAAAGGAGGATCAGCCAAATGCAAAAGAGAAAAACATGCCGTTTATTTCAGACCTATGTCTATTGTTGGCCTATGAAGTCTATTCCAAAAATAAATAGCCCAAAATCAAGTGAAAAAATTAGTTTCTCTGAAGCTAATTCAAACAGCCCCCAAAACCATGTGTTAGTGAACTTGACCAGGGAGAAGACACCGATGGCTCAAGAATCATCAGTTTTGTTTGAATTTTGCATCCAGGAGCCCCTTGAAGCCTCCTTCTATCAATCACGCCATCCTCGGGCACATATTGGGCTTATCAAATAGGGCACTGCTGTTTTCAAAAGATCCTTACAGTTAGGATACAATATAATTGATTTTTAGTGTTCTTTTAAAGAATGATATAGCTAATTAGCAAACAGTCCCCCCAAAATAATGCCTACCATGTGCCAGGCCTTGTGCAAAGTATCTTGCATATGGAGCTCCTAATCCTCATAAACCCCCACTGGGGAGACATTATCATTTCCTCCTTTGCCAAGAAGGAAACTGAGGCACTAAGAGTTTGGGTAGTTTGCCCCAGTTTTAGAGCCCGTATGTGGCAGAGTCAGAATGTGAACTCAGAGCACAGGTTTTAACCAGAATTTTAAAGTCTCAGGTTGTCAGTCAACTGATATGGCTGGCAATATCACAGAGATATCCACAGCAGGTCCCCATTTGCTGCGGTTCTCCTCAATCAACATTATTCCCTCAAGAAGAGTGGGCCTGGGATCCATCCTTTTTAATAAAAGCTGTAATTTCTCCACCCCTCCCAGACATTATACCAGATCAAAGCTTCTCCCCTGTTCAATAACCCATGTCCTAATTGTCTTCAACAAATAGGCTCTTACTCAACAAAAGCCAATTAAAATCCTGCCTTTGATTTTCAATGACTTGCCCTAAATTATGAAGCATCACTCCATTTTAGATGAAAAAAAATTTTTTTTTCCCTCTCTCTCTTTTTTAGCTCCAGGTATCATTTTCTCAGCCTCATCTCCTTGAAATGACTGTTGTCTTTTTTTGCTTTTAATAAGC